AACTTCCTTCTTCAACAATAATCTTCTGTTTTCATCCTAAGGCAATTAATTGATGGGATTTTATCCTTTTGCCCACAAACCAGAGTTTTAACTAGAGTATTCAAAACTGAACGGCTTACTTTCAGGGTGACTTTGTTATCCTAACATCATAAATACTTATTTGAAGGATGTGAAAAGAACGTGTGTTTCCTCAACTGGGTTCCAAGGCCATAGCAGTTGGCTTAAATCTAGGTAAAATTAGGTGGGAAATGTCTAGTATTTCAGGAAGGGTTGAGAGAGAACGCCATTTCTAAGAAGCGTCTTAGAAGAGCTATCCTTCAGACAAGGGTTTCTGAACTTGAGAGTCCTTTGGGAGATATTTTAAATACCTTTTCCTAGGTGGACCACATCTCACATTCACTAAGTCAGTTTCTCTGTTGGTGGGGCCAAAACATGTTTTGTTTTGGTTTTTTTTCCCCCAAATTAAAGGAGTCTTTTTATTTGTTTTTTTCAAAACATGTTTTTGTAAGGAATCCCTGGTTGATTTAGTGTGCAGTCAGATGTGCAATTCACTGATCTCTTAAGGGTATGAGATGGATGTGAATCACTATCCGATCTGGTGGGATAGCCTACCAGCATGCTTATTACTTTAATATCTTGTGTCTGTTTTAATTTTTCAGCACATGCCTATTGAAACATTTAACCTAGAAGGGAAGTTTTAAATTTCCTACTTCAGTATTTAAAGACAGTCCTAGGGGGTTTATAGTAGCTGAATATATGACCCTTGAATAAGCCATCTGGCTCTCTACCTGAGATTCCTTCCTGCCTCATCCTGTGGTGGTACCTGTCTCTCGATTCAACCACCCTGGCCTTATTTTATTTTTTATTTAAAATTTTAATTGAATTTTTTGGTACCAGGGAGGGTACATTCTTTTAGCGTAGGCTTGATCTTAGCCAAAAGGCCAAGAAACAGTTTCTTTTAGAGTTAAACACAAATGTTTAGTTTTCCTTCCTCCCAAAGGGCCTTGTTTCCCCAGCGTGAAAACCACCCATCCTGGATAGTTTATCTTCCTCTCAAACCTGGTTAATTTTCTTACTTAAAAGTCATGGAGGGAAAAAAACTTTCTTTGGCAGTGTTGGGTATCAAACCCAGAGGGTCTTTGCACTGAGCTCCATCCCCTTCCCTCCTTTAAATTTTTAAAAATTTCTTTAAAATTTTGACACCAGATCTCAGTTCCTAAATTGCCTGGGCTGAGCTTAACATTTGTGACCCTCCTGTCTTAGTGTCTCAAAGTGCTAGGATCATAGTCATGTTGGCATCAATTCCAGCAGAATTCTACTCTTTGTTTCTGTCCTTCGGAACACCTGGCCTTAAATGTACTTTCTATTTATATGTGTGACTATTTGCTAATTTAAGCTTTTTGATTAGACCAGGCTCTTTGAGAGAAAGATCTGTCTCTTTTATCCACCATTGTATTTCTGACATCCACACAGTACTTGAGTTACAGTGTATGTTGAATGAATGAATAATTGAAAGTGCAAAGTCACTGAACAGAAATTCCATGTGTATCTGTAGAAGCAAATAAATAGAGCTAATTTGTAACAATGCAAAGGCTTATGGGGGATTCTGTTAGTGGAAGGCAGGTGTTAGATTGGTATCAAGTTGTGAGATTTAGGGTAGGGTTGTGGGAGGAGTGATGACCCACCCAGAGCCTGCAAAATAAACCCAGTGGATTCTGAACTTGCATGAATCCTCTCTTTTGTAATCCCAAGGAACTCAGTTTTAGAATCCTGCCCCAACCTCCACCCTTCCTCCTTCCCCTTTTTGTCTTTCCTTTTTCATCAGAGCTACTTGAGAACTCTGAGGCCAAACTTCAAGTTCAACTAACTGTAGCAAAATTGTGTTTTGTATGTGTGTTTCATCTTTTCTATTTCTTCTTTTTTTTCTTTTCTTTTTTTTTTTTTTTTTTT